CAGTGGAGCTAAGGTTATCAAAGCCTCACTATAATCCATTAGCCCTGTTACCTAGCATAAAAGAAACAATGCAAGGACAGTAACCTCCATGTCTGCTGATTCTCAATCTCATGTGCTGATACAAAAATCCATATCATTAACCAGGAAAATATTAACACATGCAGCTTCATATACTCTGTTTTTTCTTATTTAAAAACCTCCATATCTCATCTTTAAAATATTGTATAACAATTAATTAAAAAAAACCAAACAACAAGAGCTGAACTCTGTGGTGGCAAGGTTAATCTTTCTCATAGTATTCCTTATCAGTATCAACTTCTCCACCCCCCAGAAGAGTGCAAATGGAAGCAGCAAACAAAACAAAACATATCTTGAAGTGCACGCTGCAAATGAAGGAAGCAGTGAATATTGTCTGTCAACTGTGTTTTATTTAATTTTTGTTTGCTATTTTGATTCTACATAATCACTGAGAAATTAAGACAATCACTGGAATGGACAGTGCTTAACCTAAAATATGCTTCCTTGCTAAACTGAAAGACATATTATAATCACAGTTTGTAAAATATATTACAAGTACTCATTGGCTCAGGAACAAATAGAGGTCTCTCCTGGGAGAACAGGGGTTTCCCCAGAAGCAAAACATTGTGTGAAATTACTGCCTTACCCAGTTTTTAGTGGAGAAACACAGGGAGACTATAGAAAGTCTCCTACAGAGACGTGAAAGATTTTGGAATCAAAGTGTCTGAAGTAATTTGTTAATGTGACCAAACAACCAACCAGATTTTAACCAGGTTAAAAGATTTTAAGAAAAGCAGATACCTGAAGATGTGATATACACACACACACATATTTGCATTAGTGCATACATGTGTGTGTTAGAGAGAATCATGAAACAACATTAAGTTTTTTTTAATCAAGCACTTCCCCTTACCAGTTGGCCTATTTTCATTCCTTTTTCAAGGGGCTCTAAAAGCATCCTGCTTCAGACTCTAGTGTTTTCAGCTAGCGATGACTGGTTTTTCACACAGAAGAATGTAACTACATTGAGTCTTGTGTTACTGTTAATGCAATTGATTCCCGTTTGCTCCATTCAAAGCCCATCTTGTTTGTTTTTAACTACTTCTTATGGGCCAGATTCAACAACTGAAGCTTCCACCTCTTATGCCAACTCCATTTATTTACGTTACACCTAAAGGACTGTAGTCACTCCTGATTTCCAGACACAGAGCTCAGGGCTTGCCTGCACAAGAAAGAATAACTTATTTTAATTTAAGGTTGGCTTTCTTTTTCCTGAGGAATTGACTCAAGCAAAACTGATGTAAAACAGACTGAAACATCTGTTTGGACTTCTGCATTGATTTGGCTTATGTGGTATAAAAAGCAGATCTGTGCTTTTTAGTCTCTGATGAAAATTACTCTTTCCCTTACACACTTGTCTACTACTGACTTTCCTTCTTTCTCCATAAAAGAAGTGTCCAAACTGTAGTGCACATGACACTCATGTCTGCTGCCATGAAACACTCAAAACTTAACTGAGCCACAGCTTCTGGGTCTCACTGCTCTTATACAGCCAGCACAGCAACGACCCCCGGCTTCCAACGACCCCCAGCAGCAGAGCTGCTCACACTCAACAATAATGAACAGCTCTGCTGTCCCCATGCAGACCTGCACTTCTGTTCAGTACACCGGAAGAGCAGCAAGACATGGTGAGGTAGGAAGAACAGGATTAAGGAGATTCATGCACACAGGGGAAGCCAAGGCTCCACTCTGTTGTTGCGGGAAATTAAGGTTTATAATTTGGGTATGTGGAGGAGAAGGATGTGACTGAAGTCTCACATTAAGAGTAAGCTTCTATGGATGCATGAATAGATGAGGAAGGTTAAATGTGAGCATTCAACTGCAATCCTAGCTTGAAAGATGGGAACATGCAGCAGGGAAGTTGGAAGAGGAGCCATAGATGAAGGTCTTATTTGGCATGGTTACAAAAGCATGTGACCCTGGATACCAGAAGTGACTGATGATGATGATCATACACCCACTAACTAGGATTGGAAACTCCTGATCTGTGCTATCTCACCATCATTTCTGCAAGTGTGTCTCTTTTTGGATCCTTATATAGTAACTGCTTTCTTGCATCTTTGTACCACCTACTATCTATTTTCTATTCTCAGTCAAAAAAATTTTGTCTTGCCTTTCCTTCTGCTTTTACATATAGCACTAATCTAATATTTAAATTAATGCACTTAATGGCAGGCTTATAATAAGCAGCCAATTTTGAATTATTAAGGGTATCTCACAATGATTTGTAGAAAATGCTCAACAAAATTAACATACTTAATAGGAAAATAATTTAAGAGTAACTTTCTGTTCTATACTCAAGGTTTAAAAACCAGAAGTTTTCTTTAAACAAGATTTTATTTGATTTGATGCCTTATTTGAAATTTGACTCACATACACACACACATATACACAAACTCAAAATTTCAAATGCATTCAGTACACAGAAAAAATAACAGATGATTGGTTTTAAATTGTTTAAATCTCACTCTGGAGTCTAGTTTGCTAAAGAAAACCCTCTAGAGGCTAAAAGTGACATTTGGAGGCTTATCCCATAATATGTCACTAAAAGATGCCATATCCAAAGGCATCCAAGTGTATATGCATAAATAAATTATTACGTACACTGTTTTATGATAAGCCACATATATAAAACAAACAACACTGTGTCTACACAAGTATGTATCTATCAATGAGAGAGTAAAAAAAAAAATTTCAGTATGAATTGTATAATATAGCTATATTAATTATTTTTATATGTTAATATATTTATATATGCAAAATACACATAATAAAAATATTGTATTGCATATATTAAATCTATCAATATATGTAGAAAACCTACCCAAACAATCCAAATCAATACTATAAAAGAGTGGAAAACAGTGAAATTGGTGATTGAAACATACTACTGATATAGGTACTTAAATGTTCATAGAATTTGGAATTAAATTAACTGGTAAAATTCATTTCTGTGATCAAAACTGATCTCAACTACAGTATCTTTAAGGCGTGAAAATAATGGAAAATCAGTTCTACCCTTTCAAAAACAAAGCAAAGAAAAAATCCTCCCCTTTTCATGTCACTGGCATAACTTGATAATAATGCATTGATCAGGGCATACAAAGTTCACAAACCTGTCGTACAAATTTTTTTATGACCGAAACAACAAAACTGGGTCTACAAAAGACTTCTATTAATAAGATATTTCAAAGATAATATGTCTTTATTTCAGTCTCAATCTTCAACTGGACAGATACTGAGTATCGGCTTTGATGAAGGAGGATTATACTTGGCCTTCTGCCACACTCCTTTGTAGCTATAGCATCTTGGTGTCCCTCAAGTAGGAACAGGATATATTCTATTCCAGCTCTGCCAGTCTGCTGGACAGTTCAGTGCATACATATAACCTGATTAAAAGGTAGCTCCATCCCTGGGGTTGCCACCATGAGCCCAAAATTAAGCACATACACACCAGTTCTATTGAATATCCACATACAAGGACTCCTGAAGTGGATTCTAAATAAATACACCAGAAAAATGTGTCGGATAATCCAGTAAAAGCCTACATTCATAAAGCCATTATTCTCTGGTTTTCAACTCCCTGTCACAAGGCATGCTTAGCTAAATTTAGCAGCTATGCTTACACCTGTATCAATTTCTGAGGTCAATGAAATGTGTCACAGACTGTATCCAACAGTAATCATGATCCTTAGTCAACATTAATTCTAACCATGCTTTCTTCCATTAAGACAGTCAATAAACTGCTTTTTTAACCCTGTTTTTGCAGCATCATAATTATTCTTTAGTATTATACAGTTTTGAGTACAAACCAGCTAGATTTTGAAGAAATGCATTCTGATCATCCAGAAACTAGTCTTCCCAATATCATAGGCACCCTTCCTCCATCCTCCCACATATAACTCAAAAATAACTACAGTTCACACACCAGATGTAGAATGAGGACTTATCGGCTCAGTTTCCAATTCTATCAAAGGCTCCTTTTAGGATCTTGTGCATGTGAATATTTTTTCTGTTTAATTACTCATGTGTAGAAGGAACGCAAGTCAACTTTTTGTTCCATGTGTGTTGTAAGGATTTACCCACACCTATGAAGTATACAAATGCCATATTAAGGGCTACTTAAACACACAAGAGGACAAGCAAACAGGCTAAGAAGCTGTGGTGTCCTGAAGACATTACAGAACAACTCTCACAATAGGAGGACTTTTCAGGCAGAAGACTTGAGCAGAAAGTCAACTGAGAGCAATTACTACCTTCACAGCAAGGACTAATCAAGCCGTTTATACCAACCCAAAAAGCACTTTTGTCCTCTGTACAGTCACTGCACAAAAGACTCACAAGTTTCACTACTTTCACTGAGCACCTAAATTAACAACCTTCCCAGGTAAACAAAAGTACAAGATAGACACGAGATTTCTCGTCTCTCTAATATCTCCTTGCGGAACACAAATTTAAAACCCCACCTAGCCAAATCCGTACAGCAGAGACCCGACGCAGCGCAGAAACCACGACAGGGAATATGGCCCCTTTCCTATACCCCGAGGCGACTTTCACTTTCCGGCTCGCTGCAGTGCTGCGCAGCCGGCGCCAGCCGTGCCACCGGGAGGAGCCGGGGGGACTGGGGAGGGGATGGTAGGGGGTGTGCCCGGGCCTCAGGCCGCGGGCCCTCAGGTTCCAGGCCCCGCCTGTGCCGTCCCACCCGCCCACGCACCATCCATCCATTCATCCATCCATCCATCCATCCATCCATTCATCCATGCATCCATCACCGGTGGGAGCGGAAGCGGCAGCCCACGGCCGGGCCCCTAGGGCTTCCCGCCCAGCGGCGGCGCGGAGGCCCTTGACACCGGCCGGGGAACCCGGCGACGGCTACCAGGGATGGGACGTGCCAGCCCGCCCCTTGCAGCCCGTACACCTACCCACACCATCCCAGAGCCCGGCGGCAGGGATTGGCGAGGGAGCGGCCCGACCTCTCCCTCCGCAGCCCCGCGCGGCGCCGCTCCGGCCCCCGAAATGGCTGAACAAAGAGAGCCTCGCGCGGCCGCCGCCGCCCCTCGATTGGCCGCAGGGCGGGGCCGGGGGCGGGGGCGCCGCTGCCCCCGGTCACCCCGGCAACGGCGGGCGGGATGGAGGCGGGGGTGAAATGGCCGTGCGGCCACGGCACCGGACGCCGCCCGAGCCCCCCAGCAGAAATGGGCTCCTCACAGGAATCACAGAATATGGTGAGTTGAAAGGGAACCACAAAGGTCATCGAATCCAACCCTTATCCCAGCACAGAGTCACACCGTGTGCCTGAGAGTACCATCCAAATGCTTCTTGAACTCTACCAGGCTTGATGCTGTGAACCACTACCCTGGGGAGCCTGTTCCTGCATCCAACCACCCTCTGGGTAAAAAACATTTTTTCTGACATCTAGCCTAAACCTCCCCTGACACAACTTCAGGCCATTCCCTCAGGTCCTGTCACTGGTTACTACAGAGAACAGATCAGTGCCTGCCCGTCCTCTTCCCCTCATGAGGAAGTTGTAGACTGCAGTGAGGTCTCCCCTAAAGCTTCTCTTCTCCAAGCTGAACAGACCAAGTGACCTCAGCTGCTCCTCATACAACTTCCCCTCAAGGCCCTTCACCATCTTCTCTGCCTTCCTTTGGACACTCTCTAAGAGCATATATAACTTATATTGTGGTGCCCAAAACTGCACGCAATATTCAAGGTGAGGCTGCCCCAGTGCAGAGCAGAGCAGGACAATCCTCTCCTTCGACCAGCTGGCGATGCTTTCCCTGATGCCCCCCCGGACACGGTTGGCCCTCCTGGCTGCCAGGGCACTGCTGACTCATATTCAACTTGCCATTGACCAGGACTCTCAGGTCCCTTTCCCAGACACTGCTTTCCAGCATCTCATTCCCCAGTCTGTAGATTTATCCAGGGTTGCCCCATCCCAGGTGCAGAATCCACCACCTTTGCTTGTTGAACTTCATATGGTTGGTGATTGTCCAGTCCTCTAATTTATTGAGGTCTCTCTGCAGGGCCTCCCTGCTTTCAAGGGAGTCAGCAGCTCCTCCCAGTTTTGTGTCATCTGCAAACTTGCTTAGTATCCCTTCCAGTCCTCTGTCCAAGTCATTTTTGAAGATGTTGAAGAGCACAGTGCCCAAGGTGGAGCCCTGTGGAACCCCACTAGTGACAGGTTGCCAGTCTGATGTCACCCTCTTACCCTCCGTGTCTGACCTGTGAGCCGATTGCTCACCCACCACATGATGTGTTTATCCAGTTGTGTGCTGGACATTTTGTCCTGAAGGATCCTGCGAGAGACAGTATTGAAAGCTTTGCTGAAATCCAGAAAGGTTACATCAGCTGCTTTCCCTTGATGCACTAGCTGGGTTACCTTGTCATAGAAGGAAATCAGGTTTGATAAGCAGGACTTTCCTCTCATGAAACCACGCTGGCTGTGACCAGTGATTGCATTGTCTTTCAGACCTCCCAGAATAATCTTCTCCATAATTTTAGCAGGCACAGAAGTGAGACTGATGGGTCTGTAGTTTCCAGGGTCCTCCTTCTTGCCCTTTTTGAAAATTGAGACAATGTTTACCAGCTTCCAGTCATCTGGAACCTGTCTGGAATCCCAAGACTGCTCAAAAATCATCAAGAGAGGTTTTGCAATGACATCAGCCAGCTCTTTGTGGATTCTTGGATGAATCCCATCAGGCCCCATAGATTTTCAGGGATCCAACTGGAGCAGCAGGTCCTGCACAATTTCAGGTTTGACTGGGAGTTGATTGTTCTCGCGGTCATGGTCCTCAAGCTCAGGGCACTGAGACCCCCTTGGTCTGTGATCTGTGTTGAAGATAGAGGCAAAAAAGGCATTAAACACCTTTGCCTTGTCTCTGTCCTTTGGGAGATGACCATCCTCATCCTGGAATGGGCCAATGATATTTCTATATTGCCTATTGCTGTATTTGAAAAATCTCTTTTTATTGTCCCCCACATTTCTGACACAAATTTTCTCTCTACAACAGCAAGTAGCATCTCTGAATTCTTCTCATGTCACTTGACCTTGCTTCTACTGGGCATATACCTTCCTTTTGTGCCTTATTTCCAAGAGAAGATTCCTGTTCAGCCAAGCTGGCCTTCTGCCTCACCTGCTTGACTTCTGACATTTGGTAATTACCTGCTCCTGTGCCCTTAGGAGGTGATGTTTGAAAAGTGACCAGCACTGATGGATCCCAGCACCTGCAAAAATATTTTCCCAAGGGACATTATTTACTAATTCCCTGAGCAGCTTGAAGTCTGCTCTCCTCATGTTCACAGGTGGGACATGTCCCATGTCCTGGGTCCCACCATGCTCCGAAGGCTGGGATCCTCTCCCCACTCCATCTTACGCCCCCAACCCTCCAGCACCGGAGCTCCACAGGAGGTGTCTGACACATGTGCCTAAATTCATAAAAAGTCAAAAATGAAGCTATAGGCTAGACAGCAAAGGTACAGCACCCTGGATTTCATCCTAGGTAGCCAATGTGAGTGCATGGCAGGGTCGTCCTGGACTCCACTGGGAGTGAATGGATTGAGAGCAGCCCTGTGGAGAGGGACTTGGTGGTATTGGTGTATGAAAAGCTGGACATGAGCTGTCCATGTGTATTTGCAGCCCAGAAAGACAATTGTATATGGGCTAACATGAGGGCCAGCAGGTTGAAGGAGGTGATTCTCCCCCTCTGGCTTCTGCACTCAGCTCTGGAGTCCTCACCACAGGAAAGATATGGACCTGTTGGAGCAGGTCCAGAGGAGGGCTGGAAAGACAATCAGAGATTGCCTCTCCTATGAAGACAGCCTGAGAGAACTGTAGTTGCTCAGCCTGGAGAAGAGAAGGCTCTGGGGAGACCAGAACTGTATACCTATAATATGTCCATCATCTATTCCAACTCGTCAATTTGATAATTTTCATGGGATGTCTTGTGATCTTGCAAGTACTAATATTTCAGTACTGTGTCTAGATCTCCTCAGGCTGCAAGATCTATATGTGCATATTCAAAAGGCTTCTTCCCTCTGTTGAAACCCCTACTCACACAGTCAAATTAAATACCTGTTATTTTTCTCAAGTATTATTTTGCTGTGTAATGTTCTGAGCAGACTGTAATGTAGTTATAGGCTGTATTTAGTTACACTGATTTATGTCCTAATACTTACACCTACAGCAATCACTGTATATTCACAATCTCACAATAAAACCCAATCTTTCAGCTAACAGGAAAGTAGGTGTGTAGGGCTGTATCTTCCAGTTCAGCCTTCCTGAGTACAGAGACATATATCCTATAGCTTACCTCAAGATTTGCCAGCAGTCTGCTGGCAGAATCCTGGCCTGCTTTCCTCCCAAAAAGATTCTATGTGATCATGTTGGTCTGGATGCCCAATCCTCTGCTATTCTTTTCCTGACAGTTTTCCACCTTTGGTCAACTGCAGTCAAATCTGACTGACAGGTGAAGGTCTTCAAAAGATAATGAAATTCACATCTTGTGACAGAAAGCAGGGAGCTAGGTATAGAGGAGGGACTGTGCTAATGACATGTTGGAAACAGTAGAAGGAAGGGACAGTTTCTGCCTGTTAGATATCCTGCCAGTATATCAGTACCAACATACTGGTGAGTCCACCCTATGCATGTAATTTAAAATGAGACTTGCAATACTGTTTCAGGCCCTGCTGTCTGCCCAAAGATGTGAGAAGGAGCTCATGGTAACACAGGTTTAATGGGAACGGGGGGAGAACTATAAATACTCAAGTTGTGGTGCATGTCCTGATACCTGATATAGGCATTTTAAACCAGTTCGTAGTACAAGAAAGCTACAAAAGTAGCATAATCAACTAGTCAAATATTCCTGCTAAGAAGGACAGAGAAGCCAGTGTGGCCACACTGTCACTGTACTTCACAATCTCCAATTGTAGAACAGCCTTTTTGGTGGCCATCACAATTAAAATGATACAGGCCCAGTGTATCCTTCTGCTCGCTAGAGACCAAGAGGTTGAAGAATGAAAGATGATAGTTACCTTTGCCTGACATTAACCATATTTAAGGTAAATACAGACTTCTAACTTCCTGACAACTTTCTTAAGATTTCTTTGTTTTAATAAAATTAAATACTACAAGGAAGCAATTAATTTTCAGTTAACTAGGTCCCATTGAAATGCACTTTTCATTGATGCCCCGGGCTTCTGTACTTAAACAAAACCAATAAAACTATATGTTATGTATCGATTTTGCTCTAATGATAGACTGCAACACAGTAGCAATAATTTTGCTTTCCATGCCCACTTGACGTGATCTATCAAAGACATCTTCCATGCAAAGGAAGGTTCTTCCCTGGTAGTCCATTTCACATGCTACTGATGTTCTATCAACCAGAAGTCCCAAACCCCCAAGATTATATCTGCTCAGGTTCAGGTGGGAATGCCCAGTACCTCCCCCGGGGGGATGTTTCACATGGGTGATTTAACTCTGTGAGTCATGGGATATTTTTGGAGTCTGATGGTCTAGGTCGTTACAGCTGCCTATTATGCCAGTCCAGTAGTGCCCATTAGCAGAGATGACCCCTCAGGCTGAGTGTGAAGGTGCTAACGCCTCTCCAGAGGGAGTTATCGCAGTTGAGTCATTAGTGTGAAACAAAGAAACACTCCTTGCAGAGTTCTTTAACACCCAGCTTGTAGCTTGAGCTGTCAGGTGTGCCCTGGGCAGCTGCTGCAAATGATCCATTATTAACAGTCCATCAGAAATGACATAGAGGGTGTAGAATACACAATTTTTGTTTTACCCACATAGTGGGGCCCGGCTCCTGTAACTAGGACAGTGCTAAACAATTCCTAGGTTTATCTGAAGCCAGTTCAATCATTGCAGTGATGGTGCATTATACAGACACTGATTTAAATTTTCTTTTCACTTAAGGCTGCAATTCTGTGTAACTGCAGTTTTGGTTT